CTTGATGATAACCGGAGGTAACCTTCTGAGCCAGGGCAAGAGGAGAAAAATATGCCTGGCTGCCAAATGCGGAGTTAAGTAAGCCTTTCCTGGGGGCTAGGGGTTCATCTGCTCTCTACTTAGCACCAAAATAAATCCTCCAAATGGCTGGGAGGTTTCCAGGTGACCTTGCATTTTGAATTCAGATAGCTCTAGCAGTTTTTGTCTTCCTGGATGATAAATATTCAGATAGCCACAAACATCATGGGGAAAGGGGAAACGGGGAACTCAGGCCAAGCAATTGTGCCCTTTGTTGTGGTGAGTGGGTAAGAAATGGCTGAGAGGACTCTCAGCTTCTGATGTGCTCTGCTGTCCCCATGGGCAGGGCATGAAGGGCAGCTCTCTTGCTGCCTGGAGAAGCCAGGACCTTTTGGATGCCCCTATGGTCTGATGTTTGAGTGGTTTCTATGCATCTGTCAAATGTCAAGGTCATGCGCATAATAGGTGAGGGCCTTGGTGTACAGGATTGACGGTCAGATTATCATTTATTAAATACTCACGATGTGGAAGGAGTTGAATAGTGCTTCGGACAGTACCAAGAGGTTCATGCCTATCTTCATGCTACAGGTATGAAACCAGAAGCTCAGGGAGGTTTACCTCCCAGCTAGTAAGGATTAGAAGCAGGGATTCCATCCTTCCCTGGGAATCTTGAGCACATGTTTGCAGGTTGCCACTTTCTGCCCTAGAAATGTCAAAATTTAGTGCAATCCGTGGCAGGGCTGTGGTTCCAGATGGACAGACAGCAGCTGGCTTGGAGGCCCGCAGGGGGCTGAATCCTTGTGTCTCATGGAAGTGACAGGAGCCTGCTATGTTTACAGTCCCGGCAAGGTCTCCGGAAATCATAACCTCGGCCTGCCAGCGCTCTGGAGGATGACAGGAAGTCATACTGCAGCTCCGTTACACTGCTGGGTGGACACCAAGGGGCGTGGGCGGCAGGGCAGTGGGAAGGAGAAAGCCCACTGCAGACGATTCAGGCTCTTGTCAGCGGATTCCTGGCTGTCACACCCGCCCCAGGTGAGCAGATGTGGGAGTTGCAGAGAGATCGTGTGGAATCTTTGTATTTTTCCACAAAGTCCTCAGCATTTAAAGGAGTTTGTTTTCTCAACCAGTCACCCCAGTGATTGTGGATTTTGCCCTTTCCAAGCCAGGATTTGATGGAGGGGATGGTTGGGCAGGAGTGGAGGAAGGGTGGCCACCGGAGGAAAGGAAAAGTGCACATTGTCCACCCAGCCTCTCCCTGATCAGGGCTCCCTGGAACCGGGAACAAGGGGCTGATTCACTGGCTGCAGGGCCTCCCTCGTGGGAAGCCGGCTGGGGCCATGCGCCTTGCAGTGACTGAGGAGGAAATTCCATTTCAGTTATGCTGAGCTGAGCATCGAGCATGGCATTCTCTGCCTTCACTTTATGGCTGCCTCATCTTTTTGGAATTCGCCTTTTTCCTCCTTTTCTTTTTGTGTGTGACAGACTGAGGAGAGCACGTGGTACAACTCCATTAAAAAAAAATGCAGCTAAATTTTTCCTGCTGCACACAGCCCTTTGGCGTGTTCCGGGCTTCATGCTTTAGAGATGGTTGCTGTCAAGGGCCAGGGCTTTGATCTGATTCCTTCGCGCTCAGTCCCTAACTTTGTGGCACTCGTGGTTGTCCGATCCCATCTTCTGGGGCTCTGCAGTTGAGACTGGAGCAGAGGCGTGGGAGTAGGAGCCACCAGCCAGCTGTGTGTGGCCTGGGGAGGCAGTGGGGCCACTGCCACTGTCACAGGCCGACACAGCCAGAGGTGAAAGCTGATACCACACTGCTGGGCAGTTTCTGCCTGTCTCCCTCTCCCAGCCCCACTCACGTTGGCTTTGAACCCTGCTGCAGAGTCTGCAGAGTCCCCTCTGATTTTGCTGGCCGTTAGTTGCCCTGTCCATTTTTGGAGACAGGGTCTTGCTGATTTCCCCGGGCATTGGAAGTTGTGATCCTCCTGCCTCAGCCTCCTGGGTAGCTAGGAGTATAGGTGTGTAGTGTTGCACCAGGCTCTGCCCTGTCCTCTTGCTTCATGGACACTTTTCTCTCTTCTCCCTGGCAGCGGCTGCCTCGGTGGCTCTGTGTGTTCTCGGGCCCATGAGCATTCCTGACAGAAGCACAGCTTGATCTACCGTGTGTTGCGGAGCCCTCAATGTGGGCTCATCACGTTCGCCGGCGAATGAGACTCTGCAGAAGGCTGGCGGGGATTTAGAAAGCAAAGGAGATGGGGCCCTGCAGGCCACTTGCCCCGCTTGCAAGTGGCTGCTGTTTGCAGTTTAGTTTCAGTGAGTGTAAGCAGCGGCCTGCGTGTTCTTGGGGAATTCCTGCCAAGCCGAGCTTCCCCTCCTCGCAGCACCGGATGACGTCACAGGAAGACACCACGAGGGAGCGCGAGGGGCTGCATCTTAGGGAGAGAATGCGGGGTTGGAATCCGTGACTTCGTGACTTGTTTGCATGCGAGCCGGGTGCTTACTTCTTCAAGCCTCAGCTTCCCCAGCTGCAAAACGGGAGGGACAGTAGTGCTTACCTCCGGAGGATTTCCAGGAGAATTGGGACGGGCATGCTCGGTGCTGAGCTGCGAGGGAGCTCTCCGGGGTGGCCCACTGGCAGCTGGTGCCCTTGGTGGTCTGGTCCTTAAGGATCACTGTCCCCAGCAGGCATGGTGATGGTAGGATGGGGCGAGGTGGAGACCCGGGGGTGAACGAGGCATACCCTCCCCTGCAGGGGCCCTCGCGATTCTCCTCCGGACGGCAGTGGCAGCCAGCTGGAGAGCAGCTTCCTACAGAAAATACATGACCAGGTTTTGGAAGCAGACAGAAGCAGGCCGTGGTGCTGCTTTCCTTGTAGGGCGACTTGTGGGATTGGAGGTGCCCTGCGGCCCCAGCGAGGGGGAGGCCACTCATGGATGGGTGGGGTTTCCAGGGGGAGGAGGCACCAGTGCAGTGTGGGTCTCCGGGCAGCACATCCACCTGCAGCTGTAGTGAGAGCAGCTCTGCTCCCCGAAGCTGGAGGAGCCGTCCTGCTTGCTGAGGCGGGAGGACTGGGTCCCTGGGCTGTTCAGGAGCCCCAGGGTGAGGGAAAGGGGTGGGGTCAGAGGTGGCACTCGGGAAGCCGCTTTTTGTTCCTTTACAAATTGAGCAGTTAGAACCCCAAATCTAAAATCTGGGCTGCCTCAGCTTCTCTGAGCCCTGGGGTCCTCATCTGCAGACTGGGGTGGGGGCAGAGCCTCTTCTGTGGGTCAGTGTGAAATCCGGACCTAAAAGGTTGTGGGAAGGGGACAAAGAAGGCTGATTTCCCTCCGGATCTTCCCAGCTCTCTTCTCTTACTGGTAAGTGTTGCATAGGCGATACATGAAGCCTGTAGCAGTCAGTTAAATTAAATGGCTTCCTGAGGATGCTAATTAGATTAGTAACTAATAATCATATCTGGCATTCGTTTAGTGCTTATTAACCCCTGGGCCATCAAAATTAGGTCTCATCTGCTGTGTAATTTAATTCCTGTAATAATCCTAGGGAATAATGTTGTAATTAGCCCCATTTTACAAATGAGAAAACTGAAAGATCAGAGAGGCTAAATGCAGTGTCTGAGGTCACACAGCTAAAAGTGGCCGAGCTGTTATTCCAGGCCCAGCAGGCTGGCTCCAGAGTGTGTGCTGTTGAGCACTGTACTTGCCCGCCTGCTGGAGTGAGGCAGGGGAGTGGGGTGGAGGTGGGGCGAGGCATGGACTGACTGCTCATTGCATGTGGTACAGTAGAAATCTTTGCAAGGCTGTTCTGCAATGGAACGTGGGGGTCAGGCTGGGAGGACTGGGGAGGGACGGGATGCGGTCCCAGAGGCGGGAGGCATCTCAGGTCACCCAGGAGGCGGGGCAGGCTGTCCTGCAGGCTGGGCGGCCTCCGCTCCTGTGCACCGCTCCTCTCTGTATCCCTGCCCACAGCCAAGGCCTTGGGTCTAGACCCTGCTCCCCGGCTGGGACGGCCCAGGGCTGTGCGGTGACGCAGTGCATGGCCTGTCTGCCTGGCGGCCTGCCCTTGCCTGCCCAGCCTTGCAGAGGGGCCGTGAGGAGCCAAGCGACCATGCTGGCCCCTGGAAAGTGGGGCTGAGGCCCTCAGGGGACGCAGAGCCTCGGGCTGCTGTGCCCAGGCACTGCCTGGGCTCTTTGCTTCCGCCTCTTTCTGCGAGTCCTGCACTCCCTGTGTTCAGAGGAGGAAGGTGAGGCCTGGCAGGCTGAGGCGCTTACAAAGCCTGGCCTGCCTGCCAGTGGCGTGCAGTGGTCTCCGTCTGTCTGGTGGCCTCAGGCTTCTGCACACTTCTGTGGGCACTGCTGAGCATTTTCTGTCATGCTCGGGGCAGGTGCCGTGTGACATCCTGGCTCCTTTTGGCCTGAGGCCCCCTTTGCTTGGGCGAGGCCAGGGCAGACCAAGCAGCTTTTTGTTCTGGAACGGTTTTAAATGAACCTGGGTGCCACGCGCAGCTGGGGCGTGGGTCCTCAGGATAAAGAGTGGGTACAGTTCCAGGAGGCAGTTGGTGCTGGGCGGGCGGCCAGGGGAGCTGCTGTGGGTGGAACTCTGGATTTGAGTGACCCTGTTAGGGGAGCCTTTGGGTGCTCCTTTCTCTGAGGGGACGTTAGTTCCCCCAGGTCCAGTGTATTTTAAAAGTCTGGGATCCCACAACTCAAGCTCTGGGAACTGGCTGTCAGCTTGCTGTGTAGAAGCTGCCACTGCACACCAGGAACCTTAGGGAGAAGGTTGTTTATTTTGCTGAAAATTACATAGTAACAGGGAGGTGCATTCTGGGCACCTGGGCAGGTCCAGTGAGCGGGTGCAGTGGGCCCCTCAAGGTTGTGAAGAGCAGGAGGTTAATGCCGGCCAGGGTGGCTCCAGCCTCTTGGGTGATGGAGGCTGTGTTACTTACTTCTCACTTGTTGCTGAGACAAAATACCCAACACGCAAAGTTAGAGGGGAAGGGGTTTATTAGGCTCACAGTCTGTAGAGGTTTCAGTCCATATTGTCTTACTCCAAGGCAGAGCTGCAACAGTTCACTTTGGCAGAAGACAGCAAAAGCAGCCGGGGACCTTACCAGTGTCTTTCTGCCCCCTTTTGTCTTATTCACACTCCTTCAGGCGGGCAGCACTCACACCCTTCATCCTGGTGCCCTCGGGCCTAGCATTGCACCATGAATCAGTCACACACTCTGGATTCAGCCACCTCTGGGAGAGCATGGGGCGCTGAGGGGACAGCTAGACCCAGGACACACAGAGGAGGAGCAGTTAAGCCCGACACCCCATGGGGACACTGCACCTTGGGTAGGTCCAGGATGCCCACGGGTGGTCTGCGGTCCTTGCCAGGCGTTGGCAGACCCTGCCAGGCAGAGCTGTCCAGTCCAGGCCCCCGCCCCCGAGCATTTCCTCTTCTCCAGCCACTAGGGAAATGGAAACAGCTGGCCACGAAGTCCTTGAAATCACCTAGCCAGGCAGTCTGTGCAGGTCTAAGTGGTTTTAAGTCCCCAACAGCCTTTCTTCTGGACATGCATCTCGCTCTCATGACCCCCAGAGCCCTGGCAGCCTTTGCAAGGGGAGGACTGGGGTGCATGCGGGCTCTGGCCACGCTGGCCACGCATGCAGTCTGCCGCCCAGGGCCTCACAGGACTCCGTGGCTCCTGCTGCCCCGGGTGAGGACACTGAGGCGGCATTTGCATTCGCCGAACACTTGCCCAACTGTCCCTTGGGCACAAAAGCCCAAACCACTCAGATGAAAGTGGTAAAGGAAAGCACGTTATGCTGGGCAGGCAGGCATGCATGTGTCTAGCGAGTGCGGGAGAGGATGCTCACCGTCACTGGTCGTTAGGGAAAAGCAAACTAATCCACAAGATCTGGCCCCCTTTGTCCCCACCAGGATGACTGTGATCAGCAGCAGCAGTAGAAAACCAGTGCGGGCAAGGACCCAGAGTGGGAGCAGGTGGGCCCTGGTGCTGGCTGTGGGCGAGTGCGAGTGCAGCCTCACGGGAAAGGGCTGCAGCATCCGACCTGGCATTCTACGAGTCCGCGTGCATTTGAGAGAGCTGAAAACAGGTCTGTGCAGAAACTCGCACTCAGGTGTTGGTCGCAGCAGGGCCCGCAGCAGCCGCGGGATAGAAAGGGCCCTTGTCTGTGTCTGCTGACGGCAGAGTGAGATGGCTCAGCCGCCATTAGATGGCGAGATGCACCGGGCCGGCAGTGGCGTGGCGAGCCTTGAGCAGCCTGTGCTGTGTGGACGCTCACACGTGCAGTTCCATTTTTATGAGATGTAGAACTGGCCACTCTACGAAAACACAAAGCGCGTTAGTGGGGGAGCGGAGCGGGTAAGGAACAACTGCTCAGTGGATTCAAGGGTTTATTTTGGGGCAGTGGAAATGTTGCAGAGCTAGAGGCGCTGGATGTTCAGTACTGTGGGTGTGCTAACAGTGCCACTGGATTACCTACCTTCACCTGGTTAACCGGATGTCCTGTGGAGTGAACAGCAGTGGATGACACTTCCCTGGGGCTCAAGGAGGAAATAAGGAGCACTCCATTCACACCAGACACGGACACGGAGCCCCTGGACCTGTCGGGAGGGCACAGGCCTGTTATTCCACTTGAAGACGGGTGCTGGAGGCTCAGGGAACACTTTGCCGCCTGCAGTGGCTCCGCTGAGTGGACCCAGGGATGGTCTGACTCCGTAACGTGGTTTGCTTACTTCTCTAGAGTTTCCAGAGACTGCTTTGCTTTGCTTTGCTTCTTGGCTTGTACTAAGAACAACCCTGAATACTCAGGATGCAGCTCCTGACTCCGGAGAGTTCAGTCAGTGCCTTCTGTGCAGTGCTTGTCCAGAGCTTTCTGCATGTCCACATCCTCAGCGACCCATCCCACCTTGGCTACCAGGCCAGCACTGACTCCTCACATCACACTCAAGGTGGGCAGAGATGTGTAGGCAAAAGAAAGTAGAAGATGAGGACCACTGATGTACTGTGTGATCGTGGGTGGTCTCTTCAACCTCGGTTTCCCCAGATGTGCAGTGGGGGAGCATGAGAACACTCATCTGACGGCTTCCCGGGTGGTGATGGATTATAGGCGTCCATATCCAGGCAAATGCTTGCCCACCGAAGAGCACCATCTGTGTGCGGCCAGCCGGTGTGCGTGGTTGGTTGATAGATCATCTTGGCTCAAATCAAGCTCTGGCTTTCTGTGTACTCAGCAGAGAGCAGGTCCCAACTCCAAAACCCGGGCTGGAGCCCTGTGCTCGGTGCTCAGTCACACACAGCCTTTCGCATGAACACGCGGATGAGAGAGCAGCAGGCAGTCAGTGATCTGAGTTATGGGCTTGGTCTGGGATCAGAGGAGATTCCTGTCCTTTATATGTGCTCAGCCCAGAACCAAGTGCATAGCAGTAGTCTTAGAATGATACTCTGTATTCTCATGGCCAAGTGGGAGATAGGAATTCCTTCAGGTCTCTGGCTTTGGGCTGCTTTTCCTGTCATAGCAGAAGGTACTGCAGGAAGCCAGGGGAGAGACCATCCGGGGGCTCCACCTTGGTGAGGGTGTGGCACTCCGGGGGCGGGGGGAGGTTGTGGGCTGCCACCTTGCCCTTGGCCTTAAAGACAGGAGCCCGGTGCGCTTCCTTCCCTGTAGCCCACTTCTGGGTTCCACCCAGTGTTAGGAGCATTGAGCGGAAGGCTTGGAGTTGCAGGTCAAAGCCAGGGCTGCCATGGACACACTGGGGAGTCTGAGTCTCACTTGGGTTCCGATGGTGGTAGATTCTTCTGACTCGTGTCCCTGTGGGTCCTGTCCCCTTCAGCCATGTGATGTGGACAGTGGTTCATGTTGCAGTCCCAGTTTTCTCATCTACAGAATCAGAAGTGCAGATGAGATTTAGAGGTTCTCTCTCGTGTTCCTTTTGGCCCAGAGCCCCATGATTCTGGCGGTCCAGAGTTGGCGTGTTTGACATCCCTAATTGTAATCCTCTTCTCTCTGCCCCTTTTCTGCCTGTAGCCACATCCATCTACCCACCTTTCCATCTTCCTGCCAATCACCCACACACTCATCCATCACCCTCCATCCACCTCTTCCCCCGCCCATCCTCAGCGCACTCACCCCTCACTCACCTGTCATCCGTCTGACCTGCTGTCCATCCATACACTGCCCAACCACACGCCTCCTATTAACTACCCTTTACTATCAGGGCTCTTGCTCAGCGCTGAAGAACAGAAAGACTAAAACGGGCTCTTACTGGCTCAGGGCTCAGAGTCAAAGTCAGATGTCCTAAGTGCTGGAATTAATTCAGAAATGTGCAGGCTGCTCTGGTGGCCACAGAGGAAGCCCCTACCTGCTCGGGATCCCTCTAACAAGGACACAGCCCGCTGTCTTCTGGGGCCCCAGGACAGGGGAGCCATGTCAGTGGCCTCAGGTGGCCTCTGTGATCACAGGCATCTGTGATGTGGAGTCCTCAGTTGCTGCCTCGGCTGCAGGAAGAGAGAAAGAGGGAAGAAAGAGAGAAACCAGTCAGTGCCCTGCACACTTGGCCTGTGGTCCCAACCTCTGCTTCCTGGAGCTGCAGGCGGTGTGTGGGAGGGCAGCAGTGGCCTGGCTGGCCCAGAAAAGAGCAGAGCCCGCCGTCCCACAGGGAGAGGGCTCGGTGGTTCTGAGGGGGACACTGGTATGGGCCCGTCCACCCGGTCTCCGCAGGGGAGCTCATGGACAAAGCAGTGTCTCTAATAAGCAGCCTGCTTGCCCCATGGCGATGAAAGGCTGTGCGGGAGCGGGTAATTTGGGGTTTGTCGATAAAAGCGTTGACATTTGTGCCCAGATCTCGTGCGCACTGAGGCGCTGCCTTTCATCTCTGCTATCAAAGCCCGGCTGCCCTTGGCATGCCTCAGGGTGGCCAGAGCCACCGGAATCGAGCATGGGCCAGTAGTGGAATGGAGAGCAAATGGTGGAGAGGCCCTGGGAGGCAGCAGATGGAGGAGTGGAGACAGCAGAGGCAAGTCTGGCCAGCCTGGCTGGGGCTTCACTGCATCCGCAGGGGAGAGCCTGTGGAGAGCGTGGCCTGGGGAGCTGGGGGGTCCTGGCTGGGTGCCTGTTAGGGCCCCTCACTGTGCAAATGCAGACATCTCTCACGCTGTCTCATCTGCCCTCATTTGTCAGTGAGAATAGCAGAATGACGTTACGCGGTGGCCTCGGCCTTCACAGCTTGTCTTGTGCACCAGCTGGAGCCAGGGAGTCCTCGGCAGTGTCCCTGCCTCTGTTGTAATCGATACCCTTGAGGACCGGGGCTAGGGGCTTGGTTCCTCATCTGTTTCCTTGCTGTGCTTTGTGTCGCTGGCCTCCCACAAATGGCTGGCAGATGCTGGGCGAAGAGAGGCCGCTTGGCTTGTCACCCGCACAGCTCTCCGGCTCTGTGATGAGCGCGTATGTGAGAGCGAGTGAGTTGCTTGCTTTGGTCTCTGAGTAGCCTGGGTGCTACAGCCTTTCCCACTGTGCATCCCAGCGAGTGAATGCCCGCCCGCCCGCGACATGGCTGTGCAGAGTCCCTGCTGCAGGCCCCGGTAGCCGCGCACAAGTTGAATGCCTGGGCAGCAGCCTGTCTGTTCCCATGGCCCAGGGACACCTCCACAGATGGGATAGCACTCTGCCGGAAGACGAGCAGTTGTTCCAGGTCCTTCCTTCGAGTAGGGGGCCTTCTCCCAGCCCCCTGAGCGCTGACAGAGCAGAGCCCTCCGACACGGAGGGGCCTCTCACTGGGATTGCTCTGAGTCCCAGGACCTGCCTGGCCTCTGCTTCTGGGACAGAGGGCAGTGAAGCCTAGGGAGGCTTGTGTGACTTTCGTTATAATGGCCCCGGCCGTAGTACCAGGGCTGGCATTTGGCTGCTGTGGGGCAAATGCGTGTGCCCATCACAGGCCAACGAGCCATGTGTTCCCTGTGTTCCTCCTTGATGCTGATTATTTGAGAGATAAGGAGATGACTTCTCCTACATGTGTGTGGAAGAGATTCAGGTGACAGCCACTTCCTCTTGTTGGGGAGAAAGTTATTTGTCAAGCCATGTGGTCAGCTTGCCTGGGCTTCTGCAGGGGGCTTCGAGGGTGTCTCTGAGAGTCCTGTCTCTCACGTTCCTCCAGTCTGAGGTTCTGCCCCTCCCCTGAGCAGCCTCCAGGCTCTGCTGGTCACTGGTGTGGGATGGCAGAGAGGAGGTTGGGCTGCCTCATTTCCACCCCCCTGGAAGAGCTCCTGGCCTCTTTTGGGGTCCTCCAGCCATGGTCTCACTCCTGCTGTTATATCAGCAGTTTGGGGGTCCCGGATCTTACCGCATTTGCTAGGAGACAGTGGCAGGCAGTCACCGAGCAGGATGATACACCTTTAGACAGGGTGGGATCCAAATCCCTTGGCTCTGCTCCTGTGGCCTTCACTCTTCCCCAGCCCCCCAGCAACCGTTCATGTCTCAGCCATCCAGAAATCAAGGGTTTCTTTACATCTGTGTTCCTGCAGGCCTCGATCACACAGGGCACCAGGTGAGAAAATGTGCTCATGAACAAATCGCCGACACCCAGCGTGCCCGCGTCCCACAGTGACCAGTTGCTCACGGAGACATCGGCCAGTGCGCTGCAGGAGCAGCAGCAGCTCCCTCCCGGCTTAACCCGTGCTGCATGGCCCCTCTGCGAAGCAACCCGGCCAAGGCCCAGCTCACCTGCAGGCTGGGCCAGGAAGCCTGGCTCCCTAGACGCAGGTCTGTGCTCTGTTTCCTACCAGCTGTGTGTCTTTGGGCAAGTTAGTGAACGTGTCTGACCTACATGCTCACAGACCTGCTTTCTAGGGTGATCACGGGCCCAGAACAGTGCTTTCTGGCACGTGGGAAATGCTCTTTAGTGTTAGCTATTAATACTGGTGCAGTTGTGTGGCCGTTGAATATTACATAAACCGATGAAAATGAGTCCTACAGTTAAGAGTTGTCCTGTGAGAACTAAGTGTAGTATTTTGGAAAGAATGGATAATGTTGATTTACACAAAAGTAACCAAATGACTTGGAGATAAAAAGTAAGAAAAAATTACAAAACAATAAGGAGTCTGTATCCCATGTGCTTTGCATCCAGGTCTGGTCCCCCTAAAGAGGTCGAAAGCTAGATGTGATGGTGTGACCTGTAGTCCCAGCTCCTTGGGAGGCTGATGCATTAGGATTGCTTGAGCCCAGGAGTTCAAGACCAGACTCAAAGTGGGAAATCCTGCTCTTCAGCTGGTGATACATGTGCAACTCTGAGAGAATGTTTAGGTGTCAGTACTTTTCACAGTAGTGTGCTTTTTAAAGAAATGCCAGTGGTGAAGTTGGGTAATGGGCTTGTTCTCCCCAAGGCAGATAAGCCACACTGACTGCAGATTTCCCTGGGGTGGGCAGAGGGCTGGAGGGGCTGTGTCTTAAGTTACTTTTCTCCTTGCGGAGACAAAATTACCCACACCCAGAGTTAAAAGAGGAAAGGTTTTTATTTGGCTCACAGTTTGTGGAAGTTTCAGTCCACAGTTGGCTGGCTACAAGGCAGGATGGCATGGAGAGGGGCATTGCAGAGGAGAAACGGTTCATGGTGGGCAGAAGGCAGCAAAGCAAGCAAAAGACCTTAGCAGCTTCTTTCTGCACCTTTTATATTCTACCTAGGCTACTGGGATTAGGATGGTCCCAAACCAATCAGTGGACTGATTTAGTAATCACCCACCCTTAATCCTAGCATTGCACCATGGATCAGCCACACACCCTAGATCCAGCCACCTCTGAAAAGCCCAACCCATGACCGAGTGAGGCTTTGAGGGGACAGCTAGACACAGCCATAATAGGCTGCCTGGACTCTACTGCCTTCTGAGGCCTCCTGTGTACCTGACATGAAGACACAGAGAGAGGGGGCAGAGTACATGCTGCCCCCATCCTGGGGGACCAGGCGTCCTAGTGGGGGGAACACAGTGTGATGTGCTCCCTCTTCCAGGGAGAGAGGGAGGAAGGAACCCCAAAGACCAGCAGACTAGAGGAGGCCCCAGGGCCCTGTGGGGGACCAGCTAACAGCGGAGAAGAGAGAGGAGGCTTCCAGCAGCAAATGGCAAAAGTGCCATCTCAGGAGAATTCACGCAGTCCCAGAGGCTGCTGCAGAGCCATCCCTTCAGGTGCAGAGGGAGGCGAGATGCTGCTGCGCCTGCCCAGGGGTGCTCTGCCCAGAGCCTGACGGCCACAGCACCCGCAGTCACAGTGTCAGGCAGGACAGGCTTCATTCATAGTGTTTACATACTTGCCATGCAATTCATAGACACAAAGATAAAATTATCATTCTTTCATTTCTTCTTTCAAGATGAAGGCTCTCTGAGGAGAGCCAGGACAAGTGACACAGGTCACTCAAGGTCAAGACCAAGTGGGAAGCAAGCATCAGGAATCCAGGAAGCAGGTGTCAGCCGTTTGCTTTCCAAGAAAGACCCCACACACAGGCACACACGCACCCACACTCCGGGCACCCACGGGCCCCACTCACTCTCAGTATGTGGGTTTTATTGTATGTGGCCTCACTGCCGGTTGTGTTTTTCCTAGGGAGACATAAGTCTTCATCTGCCTTGTGTCTTCCATCCCTGCCACCCAGTCCCGGCCCCAGCGCTGGTCCTCTCCTGTGTGCACAGCCCCATCCCCGCGGTGGCTCCGGGGATTCCCTTACCGTGTGGCAAGACCCCTCTAGCATCCCCAGCTGTGCTGCCAGGTGCGTGGAAGGCAGGGTGACAGGTGTAGGTGCCGTCCGGGAGCCCGGGAAGGATTCCTGGCTTCACACAGCTCAGGCCCACCCCCTGCCTTTCCTCTGGGAGCAGCCGGGCATTCTGGGAGGCCCCAGAGGAACTCGTGTGCCCTCAGAGCTGTGGGAAACGTCACCCAGCAGCTCCCCACTTTGAGCTTTGTCACCGATGCAGACAAGCACCCGCCCATGCATGGGCTGTCCTCTTGTACTCTGAGAAGGTCATTTCCCACCCTGTCTCATTCGGTCCGAGTCCTGTCTCACTTTCATCTCAGCCTGGCTCCGTCTCGGGTAGTGGTTAGGTCCGTGGAGTGGGGGAGTGGTGGAAACTGCCCAAGGACAGAGGCAGATGACTGTCAGAGCTGAGAGCTGCCTCTGCCCGGCACCATAATGGTGATCCAGTGCTCCATGCTACTGAGCACAGCGCACTTAATGCCCAGAGGCCATTCTGAATGGTGTTTGGGGGAAACAGAGTCAGGTAAATGCCAGAGCAGTGAGGCCTGTGGGTTGGGCTGTCCAGTGGTGCAGTGTTCTGGCCTGGACCTGCTCAGGTGGAGACCAGGAGGCAGCTGGGGCCTCCAAAGGTGACCCTGGGCTGTGTGTGCACCGTCGTCCCTCCTGGCAGGCTCCTGTCGGCATAGGTGTGTGGTGTGCTGTCCGGAGGAGGGCATCACCCGTGCCTCCTGTCTCAGGCCTGCCCTCAGCAGGCCCAGAGCAAGAAGGCCCCAAGGCTTGGGTGGGACCTGGGCAGGGGAGACTGAGCCAGGAGCCCTGTTCCCTCCAGGGGCACTGGGGGTGGGTGGGGGGAGAAGGCCGCTAGAGCCTGAGTGCAGAGGTGGCCGACAGATCCCTGTCGTACCCCCAGGGTGTGCATCTCTGCCTTGTGTAATCAGCTGTCACCTCAGCGTTTCCCTGCATCAGGCTTCCCAAGTACAGACTGAACATTAAACAAACAGTGACTGCTTTATAAATATTTAACTCCCACTGTTTGGGAACTGCTTGGGGCAGGAGACAAATAAGAGTTCCTGGCTGTCTGCTGCCTTGCTCCTCTGCTGTGGCGTTGTATGGTGAGCAGTGAGCAGCAGAGCTTTGGGGCCAGGAGCAGCTCGGCTTCTTCCCCCACCCCTCCTTCTTTCTGGTACTAGGGATTAAACCAAGAGCCTTTGCCTTGAGCTACATCCCCAGGCCATTTTTATTTTTTATTTTTGAGACAAGGTCTTGCTGAGTTGCCTAGGCTGGTCTCAAATGTGTGATCCTCCTGCCTCAGCCTCCCAGAGTGTTGGGATTATATTTTCAAGGTTCCCAAGTGGCATCTGTGGGTAGCCCCTTATTCCTCTCTGTGTTGGCCAGGAACTCATCATGTGGACACTTAGGGATGTGGGAACCTGGCTGAGAGACATCAAGATATGGCTGGCCCGGTATCATTTCATTTGGGCAACACTCGACTCCAGCGAAGAGCCTCTGCCACGTGGGGAAGGCCAGGAAGGTCATCTTGGGAGCCTGTGGTGGATGTTAAGCATGCTTAGCAGACAAACCAGCAACATGTGTTAGCACTAACCACTCCAGGCTCTGTGATAGGCCCACCTGCTAGCCAGCTCATCAGTGACATGCAGGGTAGCATCTTGTGCAACGAATGATCCTCCACTGCTCTCTGAGCTTTAGACTGTTTTGGGTGAGAGAATAGCTTTGTGTTCCAGCTGTTCCTTTTTTTTTTTGGTACCAGGGATCGAACTCTGGACTTTGTGCTTTTGAGGCAGGTACCAGAACCACCGAGCTAAATCCCGGGCCCTTGCTGTTCCTTTTGATTTCAGACCACATCCTCCAGCACCGGAGCTCTGTCTGGCTCTTCTCAGGCTGTGCTTGTCCGGTCCTGGGCCTTCCTCCACATGCAGGTGCCCCAGGCACTCACCAAGGGCTGTTGCAGCGTGGGGAGCTCTTGAGCTTGGGCAGGCAGAGAGAGCAGGAAAGGTGAGAAGCCGGGTTATGGTGATGCACTGTAGCAGGCACTGCTGAGAGTCCACCCGGGCCCCTCTGCCGGACCAGCACACTTGTCCCCAGCTGCCCACAGTGCCCAGTTCCCTCCTCTCGGAGGTGAGCCTCACTTGCTCACCACTGCCCAGCCATGGCTGACTCGGGACAAAAAGCCACCTCCTTGCTTCAGACCGTGGGGACTGAGCTGCCCACCATGCTCCATGTCCCCCGGGGTCGGGCAGATGCTCCCTTGCACTCCCGTGACACTTCCGGACCTGTCCCTGCACTGCCCGCCTGGGATGCTTGCTGCCAGCCAGGCCGCCCCTGTTGCCCTCTGACAGCTCTCCTGCTTGCTTCTGCCCTTCTTGTCCTGGAGAACCTGAGCTTCCCAGGCCGGCCCGTCGCAGGCTTTGTTTTGTTGGCTTTGATTTGCAGTCTTCTGTCCTGGTGCGCTTGTCCACCTGCCTGGCCCCCCTCTCGAGCAGCCTTTCCTGTGCGCCTGTGACACTGGCCTCTGCAGAAAGCAGGAAGGTCTGGGGACGGCTGCACGGGAGGCTCTGGTCTTGGTACCAAACCAGCATGGCTCGGACTCTCAGCAGCCAGGAACTGACTCGTGATGACTCCTTCCCTGACGTCTGCTTGGAAACCTGGAGTTTCCGAGCATTCTCATCGCTGCTCTGAGCATCAGAAATGACCTGGTGATGTGTGCAGTGCCCAGCACGTTTGCTGTGGAGCCCCGAGCCAGGAGAGACCTGCACTCCCGGGCCTTTGGCTCGTCAGCAGCTTGCTGTCCTGCGTCTTGGCCCCTTTCTGGTCTCAATGCTTGTGCTCAGACCGTGCTTTCCTCCTGGGTTGCTCTTCCTTTACTCCTGGACCCGTCGAAGGCCCCTCGAAGGCGGTGCTCGCATGCCACTCCCTGTGGTGCAGGGTCTGTGTGAGCTGTCCTCCTGCCCTGCTGACCTCGGGACATGCGTGTGGGGAGGTGGAGCTCTGCAGCCAGACAGCT